GAGGTAATAGATGAGTCTCGAAGATCAGAGTGACACTTCAAACCCTAGAAAATGGCTTTTAAATGGTTCACCTAACAGTTTCCAATCCAACGGAGTTGGAGGCAACACGTGGCGACATCACAGCCATCCAATTCTTAAGGTAAGTGAAACACGACTTTAAGTTCTTCTAATTCACGCTTTCTGTCCATTTGAAGAAAAAACACAGGCTGGGCTTAATAATATAAACCAGCTGGGCCAGACTCATCAGGCCCAAGGGCAATTGCATCATTGTGCCATTTCCTTTCACTTGTATTGAGAAAGATAAAGTTGGTCTTGTAATTGTCAGGTATAGCAACCTTCCAATTAGCCTCCTGTACATACTAGGATCCTCAAGTAACTCACCTTCATCCTTAGTTAATTTCAGATTTTGCAACGTAGGATATTTTGCAAGTTTAGACCCCAAATAACCAGCATCTTCAAGAACTTCCAGAGCATATTTGCGTTGGCAAACAGCAATACCCTTTGAAGATCTTGCAACCTCTAGTCCCAGAAAATATTTCAAAACTCCTAGATCTTTTAGCTTAAACTGATTATCAAGTCCCTTCTTAAATTGCCCAATGTATGTTAAATCATTTCCTCCTATGATAATATCATCTACATAGATGAGTAGTACCGTGTATGAGCAGCTTGTTTTCTTGCTAAAGATGGAGTAATCTGACTTAGATTGGACAAATTCTTGTGAAATGATGAAAGAAGACAACTTAGTGTTCCACTGGCGTGATGCTTGTTTAAGTCCATATATGGACTTGTTAAGTTTGCATACCAAGGTCTCACCATGCTCTCCCTGCTGCTCATACCCAGGTGGCATCCTCATGTAGACCTCCTCCTCAAGATCCCCATGAAGAAACGCGTTATTAATATCAATCTGATGCAAGTGCCAGTTCTTGCTTGCTGCTACTACCAAAAGAGCCTTAACTGAAGCCAATTTAGCCACTGGGGAGAATGTCTCCTAGTAGTCGAGACCAGCCTGCTGAGTGAAGCCCTTGGCCACAAGACGGGCTTTCTTCCTTTCTTCAGTGCCATCTTGTTTAATTTTAACTTTATATACCCACCTACAAACTACTGGCTTTTTATTGACAGGAAGAGAAGAGACGGTCCAAGTATTGTTGGCAATCAAAGCCTGATACTCATTATCCATAGCCTCACACCAAGCAGGGGACTGAGAAGCTTCCCTGAAGGATCGAGGCTCAGCAATAGTGAACAGTGACAACACATAGGCTCTGTGTTCAGGGGAAAGAGAATTATATCCTAAGGTGGTGGATAAGGCATGAGGATTACAGGTGGAATTGGACTGAGAAACTAGGTTACAGTGAAATTGTTGTAAGTAA